ACAATGCAAAATCAAAGAAACTTTATTGTTGGCTCGAGCTGGGATCCAAGTCTCATCCATGGCAGTGCAGTGCTGACAAGGACCCCGCTTGTCTCTTGCACACTGTTTTTATTCCCTCCTAGTCACGTACAACACGCCTCCAGCAAGCAGTCCTTATCTTGGTCATGTATAGCTCATACTGTTGTAGGCCACATTCCCGTGCGACCCGTTCCAGTGCAGAGCACATTCCATTTGCGGACGTGCGGATGCCCCGATTGGCCCACCTCCAAGGTCGCTGTCCCCCTGCCCACATCACTCTGAGGAAAATGCAACTTTGAAGTGAAGTGAGACTTAGGCCTACTCCCCGACCTTAGGCCCGTCATGGCGTCAGTCCTGTTCTTTATGCAGCAAAGCCAAGCAACGATTACAGGAGCCAATATAGCGGTTATGCTAACAGTCAAGAAACTCCCTTACCACTGCTGTTGTTAAGAGTAAGCCCCTGCCACCCAGCCTTGCACCCCCAACTCCACACCACTCCATACAGTTGCTCATTTGCTACTTGAATGACATTTCCAGATACTCTGGTTAGACTCCCAGTATTATTCACTTGCTATTATAGGTGCAGTAGATCTTAAGTCTGTTACTTATAATTTTATTTGTACAAAAGTGATTCGTCTCACTGTGAAAGTCATCAACGTGTTCTTCATTATAAACTGTAGATCACAAGTCTCACAAAAAGACTCCCTCTCCCCAGGATTATACAAATATCCCCTCTCATCTTCTTCTAATCCTTTTATTTCTATGAGGAACACTTCTGAATTTTGGAAATTATTCTTAGTATGCTTTTAGATAGGTAGAGGAATATATTTATTTGACCCAGATTTCTCAAAAACTTTTCATTGGATTGCTTATTCTGTCCTAATTAGCCTGAAGTTAAATTCGAGCTCCAGCATAGTAAATTTCAGTATGTAAAACAAGCTCCTTTCTGGCTTTCTATTCTGGTCCCTTGGTCCAGCCATCTATTCCAGAGCCAGCATCAGGACAGTTAAAATGATCATTACTTGGAACTCTGTTCTGATACCTGGTCAACACAGTGCTTTTTCACAATCTTTTTTTTTTTAAAGAAACATCTCAGCCGACTTTTAAAAGCATAACAAAAGTGTAACTCTGTGCTCCAACGACATGTGTTCATGCTGCAAGAAAAACAGGGAGAAACACCCAGGGATTCAAATTTTCTGTCCTGTTTAACTCCATTTCCACTACAACGGCAGGGCTGGCTGCTGTGGGTGGCTGACCAACCTGCTGTGCATGCCAGGGCCTGGTCACAATCTCCATCAAAATGAACCAAGGCCTCCTGGAGGGGCCCACAGTCCTGTGTCAGCAAAAAACCTAGGCCAGTCCAAAATGCCCTATCCTAAAAGAGCTAGGATGCTGGGCCAGCTGTCAGGACAGGACTTTATAAACAACAACAAAATATAAGCTTGAAGGGCTTCCATTGGCCAAGTTGCAATATTCTGAGCATCCAAAAAAGGAGATGAAAATTAGAATAGGTTAAGTCTAAACAGGACCACAGAACCTTAATAATATTCCCAAAGGAAAAGGGAGCAGTAACACAAAACAATAATCATAGGATATGTTTAAAGGACTATTCAGAGGTGCAGGTATTTTATGTTCTACGCAAATATACATTTTTATAAAGCAGAGGTGTGTGCATGTCGTGGCTATAAAAACAAAAAAAAGAGTTTGTTAGATGATGACCACAACCTGCCCGCCCGCTGGTGGAATAATATCAGCAAGTTGTCCACAGCTGTAACGGAAGCTTTATTGGAAAATCCGTTCCTGGGCCTCCTTTGCACAGAGCGGAAGGAAGATGGAGGCAAAAAGGGCAGCTGAGATATGTGTCCAGGAGTTCCACACTCCTCTAGACACGTGGACAGGCAAAGGGACAGTCTATGACCCAATTATGTAAGGAATGTCCATTCAGGTGTGTGGTTGGAATCCCACCAGGCCGGTGACCTAACTGGCTCCTGTGGCCCCTCCTATTCCGGGCTGAAGCCTGGGAGACGTGCTGGGCCTAAAGCAGACCCAGCCCCTCACCTGCAGTGCCCTGGGTAGACATCAGAGTCACTATAAGAAATTATGAGATAAAGAAAATACAAAGATAGTAGTTAACTAAGAAGTTCATGGAAAATGGAATTAAAAGTTGATTTTCATTTAAAAGCTCCTAAAATTAATAGTTCTTACACATTCTCTGAACTTTCTGAAAATGCCTCTGCTGATTCAGGAAGACATAGATTACCAGCAGTGATCCCGTACGAGGGGTCTTTAGGAAGCTCGTGCAGGAAGCATGTTCTGATTCCACACTCCATGAGCTTCTTGAAGTCCACTTGCATAACAACCAAGCAAAGAAACAGTTCAGGGGGCCCATATATGGTAACAAATTATAAGGATTCAACAGTATATCCCAGATAATAAAGGGCCAGATGCCTCAAGAAAAAGAATTGACCACATATACTTGGTGACTTTTGATGGACAAAAATCTCAATTTTTTAAAAAAGATTTATTTTATTTTTATTGGAAATCAGAATATACAGAGAGAAGAAGAGACAGAGAGAGCTGCCAGGATTAGAACTGGCACCCATATGGGATCCTGGCACGTGCAAGGTGAGGACCTTAGCCACTAGGCTACTGCGCTAGGCCTGATCCTACCAATTTTATGGAAGAATGATAAGGCATATATAAGTTTTCAGTAATGCTAATGGACAAGATCAATGCATCATAAAATAAGATAAAGAGTAAGTAATGCTGACCATGCAAAATCAAAGTGCACAGCATTTCTGGGAAGGGTATCAACTTGGAAAAGTTAAAGAGTGGCAAGGCATTACAAATTCTATGCCAAAGCATGTGAAAGTTAACTTCAGAAGGACTTAGCCTAAGGCCTGTGGCTCACAGCTGAATTAGATGGATGTGAGACAGGCTTCACGGGCGCAGTCAATAACTCAATTGTTGTTCCTTCACTAATTCCAGGAAACATTCCTTTCTAGGCCTGTTTAAGATTACAATAAACCCAAGAGATAACTGAGCCCCCAGGATAATATGCAAATAAAAATGGCATGGTCTTAGAGAACTTTAAGTGAACAAATAATGGCAATACAGCTTGCTGTTAAGAGTAGGTTTATATAAATTATTTTTAAAATGTGCTAACTTTTGCGTTGCAAGAATGGCTCATGCACTGTTGAAGGGGTTGAATGAATCAGTCAAGTACGTTTAATCTGCAGTTGTTTAGGTTGTTTGCAGAAAGTTAATGACTGTAATTACATTCACAACAAATGTTTCGATACTTGAGAAAAATCGCTATTTTAATCTTTCTTTCAAAAACCCACCAGGCACTTGATGAGTGAGAAAAGAGTTATGGAAGGTCAGCAGATGGGCCACACCTGGAGGAACAGAAAGCCTGGTGCCGAGGAGGGGCAGTCAGGATTTCCACGAGAGAAAAGGGAGCGACAGACATGGAAAGGAGCGTGGGTAGATGGTGCTACTGAGTACTGATATGAACTCTCGATGCTCAGAAACTACACACATGAAAATGTGCAGTTAATAGAAACATGGAAACACATACACTTGCACACACAAATATATCCATGCACGCAAACATTAACACACACACAGGTGTGTATTATGTACTCTGAGAAAACCCTGGAGCAGAAACATCTCAGAAGCAATGCACACACTTCCACTAAATCACCAAGTTCCCTTCCTTAGCAGGGAACCTAACAGAAAACAAGAGCCTAATCAAAACATCTCCAACTGATAATCAGACTATGTTTTCTCAACAGGAAAAAAATATTGAAACTGAGATGGTGAGACTAGTGCATAAAAATGTTCATTAGCTTAAGACCTGGGAAACATATTACATTTCTTATACTAGTAAGCGTGGCAGTACAACTGTTAATATTTCTTTTAGCTGTACCACAGCATTCTAAATCTCATCAAACACTCTTACCTTCTTTTAAATCCATTATCATTACTGTAACACACACACATATCCAGTTAAATGGACTGATATTCTCCAAGTTGTCACCCTGGCAAGTTGCCTACTTATATTAAAGTAGGTTCTTATTATAAGAACCTTCTGTTGAAATCATTTCTGAAATTGAACCTCTGCCCTGGCTCTTAAACTCATGGTATAAACTCAGAGTTATCAAATCTTTACTGTGGTGTCACTGCTGTGGCATAGTGGGTTAAATCACCGCCTGTGACACCAGCAATCCATGTGAGTGCCAATGCAAGTACCAGCTCTCCCACTTCTGATCCTGCTCCCTGCTAATGAACCTGGAGGAGCAGTGAAAGATGGCTGAAGTGCTTGGATCCCTGTCACTCAAAAAGGAGACCCAGATGTAATTCCAAGATCCTGGATTCAGCCTGGACCAGCCCAGTCATTGTGGCCATCTGAGGAGTAAACCAGTGGATGGAAGATCTCCCCTTTGCCTCCCAAACTATGCCCTTCAAATAAGTAAATAAACCTTTAAAAAGCATCTTCTCTACTTTGATCAAGCTGGGTAACAATTTGCAGTAGGGGAAGAAAGGCCTACCTGCTTGAACCTCCAGGCTAGTGTGATGCAATAGTATGAAGCAATCAGGTACCTGGTTTCCCAAAATAACTTCTTTAAGGATGACACTATGTTAGTGGAGTAAGCCGACAGTTTTCATAATCACATTTTACACATGCCACATGAGCTAGCTCACAGCTTCTAAAAAATGGTCCTTCCCCCAGTACATTCCCGCCATCCTACCCAGGCACCTAAACTCTGGAATGCGGATCAGAAAGGCTATTGGCTGCGGCTACAGCGTTGTCGGCTGTGCCAAGTGTGGTATACACGGCCACTGACATCTTAGCACAAATTTATTCCACATGATGAACTGTCACCCTCACCCATGGAAGACCCTGGAGTCACCTAATCTTTGACTTGAACACAGGCAGGCACCCATCTTCAACAGAGCAGAGAAGCACAGTCGTGTGGTCCAAGCATATGGTGATTTTTATTAAGAATAACTTTGGTTCTAAGAACTCCACCTTCAATTCTGTAATACTTTCCATTAAAAACAATTATACAAGAGCAAATACAAAAAATATTAAATTATGAAAACAAATTCATTAAGGCTCCCTTTTATATATATTATATACACTCAAACAAGTCGGGATTTTTCAGAGTAGAAGAATAAAGTCAACTGTTATAGCTTAGAAAGCAACACGACTACTACGAGACTATAAAAACACGGAACTATTTTCATGTGGAAAAAGATGGAGCCATTTCTGTCTAAAGGAGGCTCAGAGCGTAAAGTCGCTCAGCTGGCCCGGGGTCTCGGTGCTTGGGCTGCACAGTGATAGGCGGGGGGGGGAGGCTCAGTGCCTTTACCACTCAGGCTCTGAACCAGGCTGACCAGGGAACTTACGAGCAGAGCACGTCTCTACCTGCGCTCTCTGCTGTCTAGCTATTACGTCGCTGCCCAGTGGCATGGCCAAGTCTTCTTTTGGCCAGACAGACCGTTCTGCAGATTTCGGTGTGAGTGCTAGAGAAACGCTTTTGACATTTACTTTGTCCCAGTGAAGAAAGTGTCCCAGCTCAGTACTAGTAACAAAACCGGTACTTCCAAAGGAGCCTGTCGGGCGCCTTGAGAATTTTATCAAGTGGCAGAACAGTTTCGAGGATTCACATGTAAAGATCTAACATTTAACTATGCAAAATGATTTGAGGCAGTTCCTAACCCACCTCCCCTTTTTTGTTGTTTTTTTACAAACCATGTCATCAGTCCATACACACAAAGAACTCTAGTTAATGTCCCATCAGAAATGCGCGTTCAGGATGATATGCTGTCTTACTTTCTTCTCTCAAAAGGAAAACAATGATGGGAAGGATAGTTAATACTCCATTCTCCAAAAGCAAAGGAACATGGAAGCAACATGTTATCTTAAGCATCTCGAATACCTCCTGATGAGATGATCATCTATTTCAGGTGTAATCAACTAAGAAGCTTCTCTAACTGGCTGTGTAGTATCACCCATTTCACTTTGATCTTGTTCACATCAGGACTGAAGAGGGGCCTAATAGGCAGCTACTAAAATTAAGCCATTCCCACAGAAAGCTAGTTTCTGCTATAATTAGTCAGGATTTTAGCAACTCTGCATCCAGCTCCCTGTGAGTCTTTAGGGGAAGTACAAGAAGACTGCGACGTGGAACTCCCTGGCAGAACTGTCTTCATGGAGAACCTGACCATGTCCACAGAGTGCCCCTGTACCAGCAGCACAGAGTTCACCTGGCATGAGAATTCTGCCATCACTGTAACTTGGGCTTCTTCTTGACTAGCCTGCTGGCTGGGATGGGGAAACACAGCAGCCGCTCCCGTCACCTCTGCGTTTCCTGAGAGACGCCTTACAGTAGTCATCAGTGTGTCATCTGTGTTGAGATGGTAGGAAAACAGCCTCCCCTCCCAAGAGAAAATAAGACCAAGAAACACAGGGTCCTTAACCAGAAAGTTTCAAAGTCTCGATTCTAAAGTTACTCAAAATGTACAAAAGCTGTGCGTCTTCAAAGACGGCTCTTTAATTCAATCTGCACTTGATTCACATTGAACCAGTCCTCACTACCCAGCTCCTACTCTCCCACACTGCTCAGAAGAAATGAAAAGATCTAGGATCCTCTATGGTGACAGGAAGCCTGGGTAAGAGGGACCAGCTCCATTCCAGAAAGGACTGAAAGCTGACTGCATTTGAAAGCGATAGTTCAGCAAGGAATTCAAAAACAAAATGGAATCCTGCTTCTACTGTTACCCAAGCCACACATGAACTGACATGATGTGTCTTCTCAGACTAGAATGTAGCACACATCACACAGAGTCAGAAAGAATTCAAATGAGATTAAAATGAATGTTTATAGGTCTTTAAACCTTCTTATCCAACTTGTGAATTTTAGTGCCAAATAAATGTAATTGCTGTAACATTCTCTGCTATTAACTCTGACACGGGCAAAAGTAATGAGGAAATCTGAGGCTTCCAAAATGAAATTTTTAGATTTGTCAATACTAGAAACAATGTAGTAAATGCATTTCAAAGTAACCTGAATTATTTATATTTACTAGAAACCTAAAAGTGGAATTAAACATATTACTATAACTCTTAAAGGGAGAGAGAGAGAGAGAAAAAAAAAAGGCAGCTCCATGATGCCTCACTAAATTTGGAAGAAAAAACAAGTTGTGCAACTCAAGAATTTGTTCCAGTGTCCCCTTCGGTTTTGCTTGTTTTGTCATTGTACAGTCTCCGAACAGAGGTCCAGTATTTCAACTCATGTGCTGGTGAGTCTTTTCATTTGGCGAACTGGAAATGCAACTGTCACAGACAAGTTATTCACCCAGACTGTAGGAAATCAAACCTAAATCCACAATTCTCTGCTGGCTGGAATTCTCTCCAGGGGCTTTGCCCTGAGATGAAGCGCTGAGGAGGCCCCTGCAGACACAGCTTTGTGCAGTAATGGGCAAGAACATCCCGGGTCTTACCCAGCTTCAGCCTACGACTCCTGGGCTTGGGCCACTTCTTGGCCTGTTCTCCTGAGATTGCCTTTCACCTTCACAAACTCCGGGGCATTTTCTTGCTCTTCTTGCAATTTCTGCTTCTCAAGTTCAAGCTAAATACATTGAAAAACAAGACGGTTGTTTACAAACTGAGAAACTTTTCAAAATTCTCAAGTTCCAATTTTCCCAACTACTTCACAGTGGAAGAGTTTCTCCTAGTCCTGCACTGAAAATGAGGCATGCACACACGTTTGTGGGAATCCTGCACACAAACAGCAACTGCGGGCTGTGACTGCAAACAGCACTCAGAGATGATAAGAACCAAGAGGCCTAGATCAGAAAGAAAACCATGAACCCAGACAGTTGCTTTGAAAGTACTAGGTCACTCTGAGGTCGGTCCTCAACAGACTCCTGGAGCTGGCCACGAATGCAACCTCAAGGTTAGGGTTAAGGTTAGGGTGAGAGTTGCAGACATTCTGTCTCATGTTTTCCCTTCATGGTACAGGTTGAACAGCCCTTTATCTCACATGCCTGGGGCCAGAAGTATTTCAGATTTTGCAATCTTTGTACAGACTTTATGGCTTGAGCATCCCTAATCCAAAAACCCAAAATGATCCATAGTCTGAAAGTGTCTGAGCATCATGCTAGCACTCAGCAAGCTGTGGACTTTACATTTTGGGAGCAAGGATACTCGGTTCTTACAGATACTGACACTGGACGTGTCCGGTAGGTTGTGTTTGAGCCATTCCCCACATCTCTCAGGCAAACATGAGTTTTCTCCCGTTATCTCCTACCTGTTCCAACTTCTGCTGTCGTTTTAATAGTTCTATTTCTAAGTCAGACTTCTTCTTTTGTGCTTCTTCTTCCTTCTGCTTTATTACTTGGTCTCGTTTTCTCTTTTCCATCACTTTCTGCAATTCAGGTTTATTCTGTGGGGCAAGACCTCTGCAAGAACAATAAATAATAAAACTACCCAAAATTAGAAATGATCACCTAATACACACTTTCTTATGCATAGAAATTCAACACAAGAGTGTTGGCCACCACAAAAGCGGTCTACATTCCCACTCCAGTAACTCCTACTAAGGCAACAGGTAACACTGGTGAGCTCAAGAATTACCAGCGTCAAAAAAAGGTAAGAAAGCCTTCCAAATGGTGTGTGGACCCAATTAGCTGATAGCAGTGCTAGACATGAGTTCATGCAGGGAGGGTAGTGATGGTGGGCACACCCCCACGATGGGCGTGATGACCACCATGTTGCAGACAGAGGTGCTGTTGCCCGTGATAAGACATGGCTTTACCTGTCACCATGCGGAGGCTTCCAAAGGTCCAGTCCCTGAGGCCAGCACTAAATATAAGCTAGACATGCAAACTGAGACAGCCTAGTAGTCCTGCCAACCTCCTCCTGTTTGTTTTCAGCTTTGAAGGAGAGCTGCTGCACATCTGGCAGCATGGGCATTGATGTCACTGCTAGTCTCAGGTTCCTCCCACCTGAGTCATTTCGGAGGCGTGGTTACCCTACATGATGCACGGCAGCCAGGCTGCAGGGAAGTTCTACATTTCTGACACTAATCAGGTTGACAGCACCTCAATGGAAGAACCTAAACCCCAACAGGCCATTTGCCAGCAATCATCTGCAGTGTTTAAGCAAAGTCAAGGGAAAGACATCCATTGAGCACTCTGGCAGGTGCGAATGCTCCAGTGAACTGTTGGTTAGAGTTCATCGGACTTTTCTTTCTTCCTGCTGATACGGTATCTCCTCGGAAGTTCTTCAGTCCAAGGATTCCAGTGTGCTACTTCCTTATTGTCTCCCCTGCTTATTTACTCCAGCTCCTACGTCATCTCAACTTTGTTTTTGCACCTACTAGTGACATTTACAATGATAAACTGCAGGAACAGGGAAGCACTCCCATTTCCCGGCAGGAGAGTGCTTAGCACACACACACTCATGACCCACGCATATGCTGGGCTGAAGGCACTTGTGTTCCTGTAGACTGCAGGAGATGAGTCCCATGGAGTCAACCTTGGATGCTGAGCTGGGCTAGTGGCCTTTCCCTAGTATGCCAGTCGACTGTTGTGACTCACCTACAGGCTGCAGGATGTGTCCCAGTAGCCGTTCTCTAAATTACTCCAGTCAACTAGCATGACTAACGGAGCAGAAGTCATACAAGTAACTTTAAATGAGGAAACAATTTCCAAAACAGGTGCTTTGATTACAGGAAATTCAATAGCATATTCAGCTTGATTCCTTCTACATTCATATGATCACATCACTAAATATCATACTTTCTCAATTTCATCCCTCCTTGATAATCCAGGGCTTTAAAAAAAATTCTACGTAGAGTTTAAAATCAACAAGCAAAATCTTCACAAGTTGGGGGTAGTGTGTGGTGCAGAGTGCCTGCCTGCCACACTGGCATCCCATATCTGACACAGGTCTCAGTCCCAGCTGCTCCAATTCAGATCGAGTTCTCTGCTGATGCAGCTGGGAAGGAAGCAGAAGATGGCTCAGGAACTTGGACCCCTGCCACCTGCCACCGGCGTAGGAGGTAGGAGACCTGCGAGGAGTTCTTCTGACTTCAGCCTGGCCCAGTCCCTGCTATTGTAGCTGCTGGGGAACTAACCAGCAGATACACAGTGTCTTTCTCTCTTCCTCCTGGTGTGTGTCTTTCCCTCTGTCGCTCTGCCTCTCAAATTTTTAAGAAGTTTTAAATAAGACAGACAAAATAAAAGTTGTTTGGGGCCAGCGTGGTGGTAATCAGGCTAATCCTAAATGCTCTATTTCCATTCAAGCTCCTTGCCTGTGGCCTGGGAAACTAGTGGAGCATAACTCAAGTCCTTGGACTCCTGCACTCAAATGGGAGACATGGAAGAGGCTCCTGGCTCCTGGCTCCTGGCTTCAGACTGGCTCAGCTCCTGCCAATGTGGCCATTTGGGAACTGAATCAGTAGCTGAAAAATCTCCTTTTGTGTCTCCTTCTCTCTGTAAAATCCACCTTTCAAATCAAAATAAATAAATCTTTAATTTAAAAAGTTGTTCAAGGAGTAATAGCCAGTATCTCTTATGATAAAGGGCATATTGTTAAAATAATACACCTGAAGATTCTTCAGAAAGCTTTGAAAGAAACAAAATTAAAAGTAAGTTAATTTGACAAAATCTTTAGAAATCCATGTCATTTTTGTGTCATACGCATTTCTATGAACTTTTTGAAAACACTCACATATATGCTTCACTTTTTTTTTTTTTTTAGCAGCAAGTTAAACTTATCGTTTAATTACACTTTGCTACAAACTTTCTAAACTACCATTCCTTGCAGGTCTCCACTTTCCCAAGTTGTAGTAGCAGAATTTTTCATTAAAAACATTAAATTTGGTCAAAATTTCTGTGAAACAGAAAGGGAAATTACTTGTGTGATTTAGTCATGGTTTCTAAGCTAGTGTAGTTTAGAAAGGGAAGGCCGGAGCCCAGGCAGGGACTCTAGAGCCGGCAAGCAAGCCTTCCTGTTGTCTCAGAGGACACTGCAGGAGGCTGATCTTACAACACTGCACTGAGAGGAACCAGGAAATAAAGGATGAAAGAAACCGGGTCAAGTCAGAGAGGGTTTTGAACAGAAAGAAACTTTTCCCTCCCCACTGACTGAATCCTCTGCTCCAACATTGGCTGGAAAAGCCCTAGTAAACTCTTCCAAGTAGGCAGTTTTCTTCTCCAGAACTGCAACTTAACTTGTCACAGTTACATAAAGCCTCCCTCTCAGAAACTGCTACTGGAGACTGGCTGCCTAGCAACACTCCCAGGGGCAAACTCCTTGTGTCCACTAGCATTACCAAGATCATTAAGGGTAATAAAGGTGGACAGAATGTGTGAAAATTAAATCTTTTATTAGTGCAATAAAAATCAGTTATGAGTAATCTATTCTTAATAGAAGTGTCATTAGCCACAGGAAAATCTGATTTTATAATCTGAATAAAGATCTACTCAATTTCATGACTATTATAAAACTGTGGCGTATGACCATTCAGTGACAAAGAGAAGAGATTTCAATTTTAAGCTATTTGAATAATTTGAATCTCTGAGTTTTCTTTCTCTATTTTTTACTGGCAAAATTAATTTCATCTGTTATTAAACTGTCAGGGTTGTGCAAAAGTTGCTGAACAAAGTCTGCAACATGACACATGAAGCTGACAATTTATCCTAACACATGCTTAACTATGACACTCCATTCATTTTCTATTCAAATATATCACCCGATGGTGACGTTAAGATAAAATATTTAAGAACAAAAATTCAAGAAATGGTGCATATGTGGTAGTATGCATTTATAAGTCAAGAAAACATAAAATTTACTATTTTACCATAGCAAGTCACTTAATCTTACTTGCCAAATGGCAAGAGTCAAGCACTTCTGATTCTACAGTGGATCCGACTGCAGAGAACCAGCTTCTCAGTGTCCTAAACACCTACACTACTACCATCCCTTTCATGAGAACAGCAGTTTCTCTTTAATCAATTCTGAGTCATACCACAAACAAGTACTTCCAATCCTTTTACGTCACTGTATAATTAAATCCTGGTGGCCAAGACCAAAACTGATTTCTGGTCATGAAGATGTTTAGGTAAAGCCAATTTTTAAAATTATAAAATTACGGAGCCAGAGCAGTGCTACAGCAAATTAATCATCTGTCCCGTGGCACCAGCATCCTATATGGACCCCAGTTCGTGCCCTACTGCTCCATTTCCCATCCAGCTTCCTGCTTGTGGCCTGGGAAAGCAGCAGAGGATGGCTCAAGTCCTTGGTACCCTACAGCCACTTGGCAGACCCCGAAGAAGCTCCTGACTCTTAGTTTTGGATCAGTTTAGCTCTAACTGTTGGGGCTAATTGGGGAGTGAACCAGCAGATGGAAGATCCTTTCTCTCTTTCTCTCCTCTCTCTGTAAAAATCTGCCTTGCTAGCAGCTAAATCCTTGCCTTGCAGGCACTGGGATCCTATGTGGGTGACGGTTCTAGTCCCGGTGGCCCCGCTTCCCATCCAGCTCCCTGCTTGTGACCAGGGAAGGCTGTCAATGACAGCCCAAGGCCTTGTGACCCTGCACCTGCATGGGAGACCTGGAAGAGGCTTCAGGCTCTTGGGAAGTGAACCAGCAGACAGAGGATCTTTCTCTCTGTCTCACCTCCTCTCTGTAAATCTACCTTTCTAATAAAAATCAATAAATCTTTGAGAAAAAAGAAAGTGCTCTTTACCCCCTGCACAAGTCGAGTAATCTATCTATATTCGAAAAAGAAAGAGAAAGCAGATCCTAACCCTCCCCCTGAGTCATGGAGTCTCCATGTTCTCCGTAGTAGAGATCCCCCCAAATGGTACAAGCCAGAGGTCCCACCCTCATCAGGTTCTACTCATTCCTGAATGTACAGAAAACTGTGAGAACCTGTTCCTTCATTCTTTTTTCCCCTACAAACACAGCTTTACTTAATTCTCATGACATATATATCACACCACAAAAGTGCCAGAATTTTGCCACTGCTCTATCGATTGATGTCGATGTTATTTGCAATTGCTCACTGCTCAACACGATGAGGCAATGAACCCCTGCACATGTTTATGACTGTACTCTTGACAAGTTCCTCTGTTGGCTGGACCCTCCAAAGTAGAACTGCTGACGAAGCACCTGCAATCTGCTGAGTACCCACCAATCTGCCCTCCAAAAGGGTCGCGATCCTTTAAATTCTCACTACACAGACAACTTTGAAGGGCATGTTTCACATTTTTAAATAAACCATGAAAAACATTCAATCTAACTGAAAAAAACAACCCTGCACTCACTGTGCTGCCCCTGAGCTCCACAGGCACTTGAACCCGTATGAAAGAAGCTGCCTCCCCAGGAAAACTTTCAGCAAGAGGAGAGATACACTTTTGCAGATAGTACAGAAGTCAACCAGGGTGGGTCTCAGGACAGGCCGTCTCATGCCTGGATCCCAGACGGCCACCATGGGCACGTGGTGAGCCGTGTCCGGGCCTGCTGGGTTCCAGAGGCTGCTTCCTTTGGGGTGAGTAGACCGAGGGGGGAGGCCTCTGGGACCGGGCAGGTCCGGCACCCAGCCACCGCCCTCATTGGGCGGTGAAGGGGATTTGGGAGGGGCGCGACCTTAGGCCTGGGAATTTAAACCTCCAGCAGCCTCCTGGCAGCTGGTGGGTCTCAGGACAGGCCGTCTCATGCCTGGATCCCAGACGGCCGCCATGGGCACATGGTGAGCCGTGTCCGGGCCTGCTGGGTTCCAGAGGCTGCTTCCTTTGGGGTGAGTAGACCGAGGGGGGAGGCCTCTGGGACCGGGCAGGTCCGGCACCCAGCCACCGCCCTCATTGGGCGGTGAAGGGGATTTGGGAGGGGCGCGACCTTAGGCCTGGGAATTTAAACCTCCAGCAGCCTCCTGGCAGCTGGTGGGTCTCAGGACGGGCCGTCTCATGCCTGGATCCCAGACGGCCGCCATGGGCACATGGTGAGCCGTTCCCGGGCGGCCAGTGCGCCATTGGTGCCAGGCTCCGCCTGCTGGCCGCCCGGCTGGGGAGCTCTGGGGATTTGGTTCTTTCAGTCGCTGCTTAATTAGCTCCAGGTTGAACCCATTGTGATTCTCGGACCTCAAACAGGCAGTAACTCTTTCTTTGTAAAAGTTGTAATCACTAATAATGCTGGGCACCAAATACCAGTCCATGCAGAAGCCTGGGCTTGGGGCTTGTCCTGCAAAAGTAGCTCCAACGGCTGGCTAATGTGTCAACTGGTGGGGAACAGAGTAGATCTGGTACGAAGGAGCAAACCTTAGCCCACAAGCAAAACTAGAAACCAGGAGGGAGCAAAGGTCATGCCAAGCTAGGCTCTTGTACCTACTGGTCTGCAGGAGCCAGGGACACGAAGCCACAGTGTCTAAGGCAGAGGTCGGGACAGGTGAGGAGCTGTGCTAAGCTGAGTCAGAGCAACCACTGGCATGCGAGTGATCTATGGCTGGGAACAGACCCGGTTGGGGAGCAAAGGGGACAACCCTAGCTGGGCTGAGGTTCCCACAAAGAGGCGCGTGGCCTGGAAGGGGGGCTGCGTTCTGATCTGGACACAGTTGTAGTCTCCCTTGGCACAAGTGTGGACTGGGATTGGATGCACCGAACCGGGCTGGACCCCGACTCCCCCTGGTGTTCTGGAGGACCAGGGCAGATGTGTGATAGACTAGGCAAGGTCTCAAACCCCTACTGAGCCATGTGTGAGCCATACGTAGGTATGGACAAACCATGGCTGGGCTGGAACATCCAACAGCAAGAACCAGATTGGGTGGAAGGCCAGTCAGGAAAAGCCACAGTTCCTGCTATGACAGGAGGTGGACTGAGTAGGATTGGCTCATGGACCCACTGGTAAGCGTGTAACCTGGCATTGGGAGAGGTTCTGATGGAGGAGCCTGGGCAACTCCTCTGGCAGGACACAGACCCGGCAGGTCAGCGCAAGAAACATGATAGGAAACAGCCCAGAAAAGGCCATGGAAAGCTACCCACTGGCATACACTTGGCAGACGTGGGGGCAAGACCAGGCTGAATCTGTCCACGTCATCCACTGGCAAATCCAGGCACCAGTGTGGGTCGACCCAGGTTCGGTCGCAACAAAGACTAGTGCACAATATGGAATGCCGAGGTGAGGTTGCCTGTACCGGAGGGGACCGCAGCGCCCAACCAGCCTGAGAACAAGAAAGGAAGTAGGCAGAGCCAGCAGGGGAATAAGGGAGGGTTCCTTTGCAGGATAGCTACTTCCGCAGGAGAGCATGGGCTGGGATGGGGGCAGACCAGACTAGGCAGAGCTACCACACCTGTGCGCCTCATGTGGACTAGATCAGGGAAAAGCCGGGCTCGGTGGATTATTCCTACTGGTGCAAACAGAATTAAAGTGGGCGAGGTTTGTTTGGGCAGCAGTAACTGGAATCTGGGAGTGGGAGAGGCCTGGGAGGGTAATAGTGGGCTCATCCCTCTTGGGTTACCACTTCCACGGGAGGACATAAAACTAAACAGTGGCTGGGGTGGAATGGGGTGTGGGACAGACTGGATTACTGCTACACTTACTGGCAAACCAGGGTAGGGGCGGTCCTGGTGGGGGTTATTGTGGGTCGCTCCAACTAGGCTGCAGCTCCCACTGGTTTAGGTGAGGGCCAAATATGTGCGGGGCAGAACCAGGCTGGACTGCAACACCCATTGGTTCCAGTGGAAGTCGGGAGTGAAAACAGAACCAACCCAGCAATTACAACCACCAGCTGATTGGAGCGATGGACGGTGCCTGGCCCTGTACTTGTTAGCACATACAAGAAGTTTCTTTGGAGATCTTCCTAATCTAAATGCTGGACTCAGAACCCTAACGAAGAAAAGAGAGAAGACAGAACAGGTCAACCAACCATCTCAGCTATGATGGACTATGTCAATCAGTGGATTTTTCAAAGCCCTCATAGTGCTTGGAGTGGCAAGATTGACAGCGATTCATAACTGTTGCAACATCAAAACCACTCGAGCAAGAACCTCAGAGCATGCCCTACACCCGGGACTTGGGGAGGGTGGGAAATTGGGTGGGCCTTCTCCCTTAATACCCCCCTTTTAAACATGAAGGTAACAATATGGAAAACATACTAGTATTATCCACTTTCCTGTAGCCCTTGAACCTTCTTACTCTAACTAAGTATGTAAAGAATATAAAAATAAATTTTATTAATAAAAAAAAAAAAAGAATAAAAAAAAAAAAAAAAGTCAACCAGCCTACTCTACACTACAAACCAGTATTCAGGCCTGGCGATCTCTTAATCAAACATAAGTCAACCAGCCTACTCTACATTACAAACCAGTATTCAGACCTGGTGATCCTTTAACCAAACATACCCAGCTACATTAAACTCTGGGGAAAAGAAAGACGGAATCAAATGCTATTTTAGCTTAAAAATTTTTTGAAATCAATGCACATTTTTTTCCCAAACATACACTTCTAAACGAGCTTTTGGAAGATTTCTCATACATATTACTGATATCGATGCATCCTAACTGAACACCAAAACTTGGAAATAAAAACTCTAACTCATTGAAAAGTATGTGAGACTGTATTTTTATCATGACAGCAGTAGCAAATGAAAACTTTACCTTGAAAAACAAAGACATGAGTTCTGATCTAGTTGGGCCCAGAGTGATTGGTTAAATGACTAAAATCTTCACTTTGCACACACCAGGATCCCATACGGGCACCAGTTCAAGTCCAGGCAGCCCTGCTTCCCATCCAGCTCTCTGCCTGTGGCCTGGGAAAGCAGTCAAGGATGGCCCAAAGCCTTGGGACCCTGCACCCATGCAGAAGACCCAGAAGAGGCTTCTGGCTTCAGACCAGCTCAGCTCCAGCATTGCAGCCACTTGGGGAAGTGATCTTTCTGTCAGTCAGGAAGATCTTTCTGTCTCTCCTTCTCTCTGTAAATCTACCTTTCCAATAAAAATAAGTAAATCTTTGAAAAAAAATTATCTAGTCGTCTGATTTGGAAAGCTGGCTTTTCTTTTTCTAAATAAAGTTCAGCCATATCATGTTTCAAGGGAAAGAAAGAAAAAAACAGTAGGCATTTTCAGCTGCTGTCCTGTGGACAGCAAAAAAATGGGTGTGATTGATCGGTTATTATATGCTGGGCCTTTCTAATATACACTATTATTTAATCTGTGTCAGCTGTTTTATTCCTCAATTTACAGATGAGCAAACAAAGTACTACATCCAGTATCATTAAGAAGGTGAAGTTAACCGTGACCCAGGTTCTGCACCAAAAGTAAATATCTTGTTCTCCTCCAAATAATTATAATGGGAATAATAATCTGAAATTATTACTTAAAGCTACAGGCATAGAAAGGTGCATTCTCCTCCATGAAGTCTAATGTGGGTCTCAAGGCCTTTCCCTGTCACTTACACACTTCAGCAGGTGTGATTCGTGTCCGGTTTGAAGCCTCTCCAGGTGTATGGAGGAAGTTCAGAGGTTCTACATGTAAAATACAGCAAGATTTCTCTTCTGCCTAGGACACGATGTCATTTTTAATTGGCTTTCTGTTCCCCTTGTAAAATACGCATTCATGTTAGTGGGGGCTGGGACAGAAGCTCTTGCACCCTAAAAACCACAGGGGGCAGCACCTGGGCCTACAGGGGCCTTCACGACACAGAGGAAGAGTGTGAGGAAGTCTGGAAAGCTCTCCTACAGACAAAAAAGGCACTTCATGCTTTGCTGGCATGCTTAACGCCAGGGGTCTCTGTGGACTCCCGGGGGCCCGTGTCTGAGAGAGGGGCTCACCTTTTCTGATTCATCAGCAGCTCTCGGTGCAGGTCCTGGTGGTTCCGGGACGTCTTGACGGGGTTGATGAGCTTCTGGGGTCTGATGAGCTCAGGGTTGTCGTCGTCCGTGTAGTCGGGCTCCGCCATGATGCTTCTCGGGATGAGGTAGGGGTCCGATGGGTCAGCCTCCAGTGGGCCGTCTGAAGCACAAGGAGAGCAGGGACACTCATGAGTGGGGTTTTCTCTGCAGACCTGGCACACTAAGACATGTGTCCTCCTGGATCTGCTCTGTGACAGAGATGAGGACTCTGCCTGCCTGCTCAGGAGTGACAGGAAGCACGAGGAGCAAGGACAAGGTAGCTCTGAGCTGTCCCGGCTGTGACTAAGCCAAAGTGTTCCTGGGCTACTGCCCTTCACACCTTCAGTTCCAGTTGCCCGGGTGCTTTCTGTCACCATGTCAAGCCTTCCAATGAAGCCTGATGGCCACTCCCAGATCACAGCAACTTCACCTGCTCCGTGAGTGAGCAAGCCTGACCCTGTAGCAAGGGCGGAGGCGTCCAGTGCAGCCTCTCTGGCCAGGGCCTCCTTCCCTTACTGCAGTGCTGGGAGCTACACCCAGGCATTTCCTCCAAAGGTCCTGGCCTCCTGCCTACCTTGCTAATGCCAGCTGCATGGCCTATAGTGCCCTGGCTCATGCACGCTGCTTTGCTCCCTTGGCAGTGGTGAGACCAAACTTTAGAGGGTGAGGGTGACTTCTTTTTCCCTCTGCTGCTTCTTCTCCAGTGTGAGGATGCCATCTCCTCCTGCCTCATGTCCCTGTAGCTGTCGAGAGTGGTACATGAGAGTGGGTGGACATGGACACTTGACACATGTCATGAGAAAAAGAAAACCCCGTTGGGGGCCAGCACTGGGAGGAGCAGGCCTGGCTGAGCTGCAGGCTAGACTGGGACTGCCAAGCCAGAATGAATTGCTGTGGACTCCGAGGCTCAGCTCGCAGTGCTAAGACCACCATGACTTTCCTGCCTTCAAAACAAGCACGGCCTGGATTTCATGATCATTAACACTCTGCTTCATGCTTCCTTATGCATGCATGGTAACTTCTATTTCAGCTGGAGCTGGACTCCGGCATACCAACAACCAGTTACAGGCCTACCTATGGCAAAATGGCCAATGCAAGACTCTCTCTGTAAGTCCATGGTACACAGTCACTAATTCTCCAACCGGGTGCCACAGTGAGGAAAGCCCAGAACAAGGGAGAGTCAGGCCCTCTGATAGGTTCCCATCTTTGTGTCATCTCCCCAACTCGCACACTCGCAGTGGTGCAGGTACAATGTCCTCACACACAGCCTCCTGACACAGGGAACCAGAGAGCTTCCTGCCCACCCAGGAGGGGCTGAGCCCCACTCCCCTCGCCCCACCTTTCAATCCCCAGGCCAAGACAAGTACCTGGCAGGCACTAAGTAAATGCTGAACTAAATCTGCGAAGACCGAGAGAGCTGCCCGACCACCCCCATCCCCCGGTGAACAGGTCCCTAGTCTGAAGACAGCTCTGCCATTGTTTCTGCCCATGAAAGCAATCTAGGGAGCATGATGCCACATGAAAATGCAACTACTCATAGACCAGGGCAGAGGCGTCGCAGGGCTTGCTTCCACGGGCTGTGGGACTAGAAAAGCAACGAGGTGTTTTCATAACATTAAAGAGGATGCCCTAGCAGTCAGATATAACTGAAGCCGGAGCTTGGCTTTCATGTTGTCCTCCGTGACGTTTCCATGAGCCCCCACATTGCCCGGGGGCACTGCTACTCCAGCAGGCCCCCTAAGAACCCTGCACCGAGTGGCAGCCAGCAAAGATTCAGTAGTGCTCTAGAAGAAGCCGTGAAAGTTCCTAATTGCGTCTGACCCCAGCTCCAACTCCATGCATGAAACAGATAGAAGCCATACTTCACAGACAACAGGAAGGGAAATGCAAACACCCTGCCTATGCTGGTGTTGACAGCTGCACAAAGCTAAAGCTAAAACGAATGTTACCCACCAAACTGTGACGCTTCAGATTTTTACAGCAATCTTTTCTAAAGTAAGAGAATAAAAAATGTGAAGAGTTAGTTAACTAAAGCAGAAGTGCAGTAGCTGTACCATTTGTTTAAATATTTGAGGTAGCACTGCATGGTTAAAGCTCAAAACTACCAAATGATAAGATAGCAGCATGTCTAACAAATGGCACCAAATATTCTTGAGATATTGCTTGTACCGACCTTTTAAACAAGAAAGCCTGTGACCTTAACCACAGTAAGAGCTACAAACCTCGCACAAGGTGAGTCAGTGAGCCCGTCGCAGCCATCCTGCTCCTCTGAAAAGCACACTCCTTGGTAGAAACATCCAATGCACGACTACCCCTCTGTGTAGCCACAACAGTCTTAAGTCAACAAGCACTTTCTGGTTAATCAGTACATCACGAGTTTCTATGCACTTCCATAAAAGGACCTGTTTCTCCACTGTCTACAAAGGGCAATCTCCATGACGTAGAATGCAGAGACCTGCCTCCAAAGGTCAGTATCGCACAGAAAGGGAGGGTTTCGAACAGACTGGAGGCAGGCAAAGGAAAGGCTAAGACAGCAGCCGCTGCTACTGCAGTGCTCTCGGGACAGATGGCTGAGGTCAGGACAGCTGCAGAGCAGGCAGGTGGACAGAACACAAGTTTTTTTTCCCTGACATCTCTTAAGTTCTACATTCCTGAAAGTTTTTCTTCTCCCACGTGACCAGTGGGGTAAGGGCGGGCCTCAGTTTGGGTCCTGTTAGAAAGTCACAAGACACTGGAGCAGGTGTGTGTGTTAGGGAGTGGGGGATGGGGAAGACTGGGAGCTGAGGGAAGGTAGAGGAGCTCTGTCGTAAACATTTGCAAGGCAAACATTTTCCTTTTTTCTTTCCACTGATTTGCCCCTCACAAGTGGTAGCTAGAGCACATGCATGCCCTCTGTCCAAGTTTGGTGCCTGGAACAGGTGGCAGGCAGGCTTCCCTGCAGTGTGCATGCGCTGCGATCTGGGAGAAGGCTCTTCAGCAACAAGATGGTGAAATGGTCAACAGCAACTTCTCCATGGACTCATAGCAGTGGTGGTGACTGGTAAGAGACCTGAGATCAGATCTGGCCACTTCTCCATGACTTCCCACCCCAGAGTCAGGACTAGCACATGGCACTGATCTTGTCCAACTCTCTTCCCTCTGTCAGCCATCCTCCTCACTGCTACCCATGCTGGACGATACAGTTTTAAGCAAAGGTAACATTTTCATCTCATAGATTCTGCTCAGATGAAACTGAAATGTACACTGTCACTCCCTCCTGCCGTCCCCTACAATTCAGTATGCCTTTGCCACTGCTGCGCCCTGCAGTAGCATGCTGGTTCTCCTCCCACAACAGCTCTCTGTACCTCCACAAAGCCAAATCTCACTCAGCTTGAAGATCCAGATAAACATTAAATCTTGCCAAACCCTGCAGGTGTGGCTGAACTCTGGCCTCTCTAATCAACTATGGAATTTTCTTCATTCCTTTTTCCTACTATTTACCGACTACCACATTGTCTTACAACAATATGTGTGTAAGCATTATCCCATTCACTGTAAAGACCACATTTCTGGTTTATGAGCATTTTCTTAAAAAAAAAAAAAAAAAGTGGACTTATTCAATAATTACTTTAATGATAGCCATCTTAACAACAGTAGAGGGAGCTCCTGAGCTGTTTGGATTAAGGACAACTGGGTACAGAGCTGAAAGCCGGGTTGGGAGGCCAGAATATTTCTTCACTAAGCATCAAGTAACACAGAAGTCTGAGAGTAAAGATGGAATAGAAATGTCTGGAAATGGAGGTGCTTTGTAATGGGGTACTATTACTTCATGGAATTTCTCTTCTAGAAACAAACACAAAGACACTCCTGTCAGTCACATACTGGTAGAGTAACTTGTTAACTGATATTTTTTTTCCTTAAGAATCAAGTCAATGAAAAAAAACTATTGTTAGTCAATGTAAAGACAGTTTTCAGATCTTGAATGAAGCTTAACTTCTCTCTCAGTGCTAGCTAGCTACTAAAGTAAAATTGTAACAATTGATTGAAATGTGTTATATATATGTATATTGTATAACTCCTGGCTCAAGTATGAGTATTCAATGAACAGATGCTGTTTACCAGCCAAGTGTGAGCAACATCATGTAACATTTTATTCAGAGGTCCAGGTAACTTTGTATACAGAATTTTTCTAGTTTTGGATTTCTTCAAAATCATAAGATGACTCCCAGACTTTCTCTTTGTAACATTCAGTATTTCTAATCCTTCCTGCAGTAAACACAGTAACTCCTGTAAGGTATAAGAAGATCAAGTTATTACAATATCAAGTATCACACAGACATGAGTCCAGTTAGAGTGTGGGAGTATACCAAGAAACCCAGACAGGACCTGCACACTGTTCCGAGGCGGAAGGGAACACACAGAAGGATTTTAAGTAGTTGAATAATAAAAGAGAATTGTATTTTAGACAGCTACTAACACTACATACTGGAAATGCCACCTGATCAGAAGTTTGTCTAATCAACAACAAAAAGCACATCATTTAACCAACCCAGGATAAGGAAACTTCATCCTTCCAGATGGGTTTTGAGTTCTGATTTTCATTCGTTCCCTTCCAACATTCCTTCTGGGCCCAATTCTTTGCCTATCCCAGGTAGTTCATGTTAATTGCTTTCCAGAGGTAAATCAGTATTCCCACAGAAGACTTTTACAACTAGACTAATAAAACCAACCCTTATTGAAACTGAGTTGCAATATTTTAGCTCTTGATTTACCTACTGCTACATCACACAGGTCAAACTCAAGACTTAATCCTATTAGATATAAATATCAGAATTTAGACACTATGGTACATTTTCTATTTCCTCAAATATTTGAAATCGAATTCTCCATGCACACTAATTCTTGAGTCTGTTTTTTAACAATCACCTGAAACATAGCAATGCTCACAATTTACAGGTGTATTATAACCAATAAAAGCTAAACTGAACTTCTGAACTACCATGATGACATCGGGAAAGTGAGAAGCAATTCCAAGGCATTTTTTCAGATAATCTATTTCCCAGGTTTTTCTTAAGATATTCTGGCAATCCTCTGGCAACACCCTGAGCATTCCTAGTCACTTAAGATCGCAGCTGGCAAACT